AGTTAACCATCGACATGTATGTTCAATTTGATAAAATGCTAAATATATACAGTCCGACCTTTGACCTTTTGTCTTGCATACATAGAAATGTACGAAAAGAATGTTCGTCGTCACACAAAGCAATACAAGATTTCTATGTTTATGATACGTGGAACAGTGTCAACAAAACAGAGAACTGTTCACCATGAACCGATGACGTCTCGGTGGTACCAGGTGTCCGGAATGAGTAAACATGCCTTGCTGACTTGTCACATCCATCATGATTCGTCTCTTAGCGTAATAAATGTCAAAAAATATAAATCAAATTTTGACAAGTCATTGTTGTGATTTCCTATAAATGTATGTGGTCGTCTCACAGTGGGCATATTTCTGACATTCATCTTCATGTTAATATATTGATATTTACTATCAAAGTCGTGTTTCATAAATACTGTGATACCTTTTAAAGTTAGAAGTTGTATGAAGTGAGAATATATATCAGTACTTGTATTGAACAAATGGTTCCTGCTCCGTGAATTCGGCCCTCTAGTGTTTATTATTTGTTTTTGTTTTGCTTTTTTTTCTGCTAGGTGACGCTAATCTAAATAGCATAATCACTGATTCGTGATTCGCCTAATCTATTTACATTTAAATAAAGCGTACTGGCAACTGTTAAGTGCTTTGTATAGCATTAAAATAGTCATATAATTTGATCTAAATGTCCACTTAATGTGTGTCTCACACTTTGATATATTTAGAGGGGGCAGATCTGTGACAGTGTGTGGGCTTTAATGCGCATAAATTTGATGTTTACAAATTCATATTGGTCCTTGTTCATTGTTGTATGGTCAAAACAAATTCACGTAGTGGCTCCCCGAGATACTCTCAAAGAAGGAAGTCAAGATAAATTAATTTTTAATTCAGGCTTATTAGGCAGCGACCAGGGAAATATGTCACTTTCTGGCCGTTTTTGTGATATTTTTCACGAAGCTTCTTCTAACTGTTACACATTGTCCTGGTGTGTTAAAAAGTAAAAATCAGTCATGGTTTCTGTAAAAATCGACTTTTAAAAGCGAAGATAAACTAATTATTGGAATTAATTTTAGGCACTTCGATGCGTTTAATTGTTATGTATGTACAAAACAGAATGTTCTGTACGTATGTAGCTCACTGATCAGCAACTAACTGTGGGTGATTTACAAAAAACTTGATTTTCAATCCTAAGAGGCTATTTTTTGAAATCTGACAGGGTTTTGTCAATTTCCTACGGAGCTTCAATATTGTGTGACTGATGTATTTAACATTAGGCTTGTTTGCAGGCACTGACATACTAAAGGAGTAGGGAAAATGATTTGCCGCCCTCGCCGATTCTAAACCAGAAACTTCTCGTGTCGAAGGTTCGTCATTACATAACCACCAAAGTGATGAAATAACCTAATAGTTTCGCGACGTGGTCTAGGAAATATAAATTGCTAACTCATAACTATGGACAAATAGAGATTAACCCCAAAATGTACACCAAATATTATGCTTGTTTGATGGCACTGTGAAAACAAACACCGTCCCGCACTTATATGAAGAAAACAGAAACCCCACGTTGTTCAGTCATCGTGGACAATTTATAGTGATAATGTGATCCCAATAACATAACCCGCACTTCAGCGACGACTTCCCATGATGGTGCAGTGAAGAGGTATTTCGCAACCGCTCCTCTAAATACGTGGTGGGGAATGCGAATAAAAGACAATCCTAAATATCTAGTATGAGGGATTCAACGAAAATGTCACCTCGATCAACATACGTTTAGAATACGTGTTGACTAGTGGTATCAACAAGTATTCATTGATAAGCAGATTTCAGTGTACAGTTGAGAAGAAAATCCCTAATTTGGCATTTGCAGGGGCGGATTTAGAGGGGGGGCCGAGGGAGCCGCGGCTCCCCTTATTTTTAACCCCCCGCAGGGGCTTCGCGCCATCGGCGCTCGCGAACAGGCCTTCGGTCAACTTATCGCCCCCCCCCCCCATTCCAGAATTCTAGATCCGCCCCTGATGTGTGTGCTTGTCATCCTATACTGAGAAAATAATACACTTATACATGCATGGTTGCAATGAGACTGATAATTTCGATACAGATCTAAACCTTAATAACATTAAATCCAGTGGCATTTTTTGCAATATGCATTGTGTTGGTGGAGACTCTCCTTTGTTGCTGTTCCAATTGTTCATTTCATCTTCCGTCTGATGCGACTGTCCCCAAAGGTAGTTGGAAATTCTCATCTTGGGTTTTCTTTTGGCTCGAGTGAAAAACTCCGTGAAACGTGAAATATCCCAACAATTGAACCACATTTATGACGTCACACTATGATCATTATCTTGAGGTGATAACTGCTAAATGAGACGAGGACACGTGTGGGTAGTTCAAAAAACACCCGGAACAAGTCACCCCGACAACTCGTATGATGAAACTTAGAGTGCAACTTTTCCTTAATTTAAAAAAAAGAATTCGTTTTTATATTGACAATACACCGTGGGAATTAAATGCGTGAATCAAGTATACCATGTCATGCACATCCGGGTATTTTCTGTTAATCTGTATTGATTATACAAACAAATATGGGATGGTTTTAGAACCTACCTGTGACGCGTACTTCACAATCAGATCATGATGGGCTGTATGCATGAGTAGTCCATTGTTCTGTGTATGTATGTATGTGTGTGTACGTGTGGTTTACGAAGAGAGCACTCTCACCTCCTGGTTTTAAACCAGAAGCTCCTCGCTGTCGCTGGTTCTACATTACTCAACCTTAGACAACTTAATAGTCTAGTGTTAAATTAAATTCGATATAAATAATATGCCATTAATTTTATATAAATAGTATTTTAAATGTATTATTGTTTATATGAACTGAATTCAAACACACCCATAATTATTTGTGACCAATACGTATACGTTTAAATGCGTAAACCCTGAATGTTAGTTGTTTACATATATGTTTTTACCTTTTAAACGTTATTTACTTAGAAGGGCTATGCCATCTATGAAATATGTCCATATCGTAGTAAGCATATTCTCAACACTGGAAGCGCCTTCCACAAATTATAGCTAGCTACCCGCAACTTTTTAGTTTATTGTCGCTGGTGGCGTTGTCGGGACTAACGCATTGATTTTGTTTTCATTCAGTAACATTAACTTTCGTAAGCAGCAGTCTTATATGCAAAGTATGCATTTGTGACCACGTGAATCGGCGCAGTTACGCGTTGTAGATATTCATTACATTGCACGATGTTAACGGTGAATTGCACGACAATTCGAGATCTCCATACACTTTCACAACCTCCATGTCTCAAGTAACTTTAAATAATGTAGTACGAACCGTTTTTAAATGTTTTCCAATTTAAATCTATAATTGTGTGTGCTATGTAACTGCTATTTCAACGTCACTCTTGCAGTCACCATGCCATAAACAAGTTTCTTACCCATACATATAACGATATCATTGTTATAATATTATTGTTCACCCATTGTAATTAATAAATATATGGCAGCAAAATATAGTTGTTCACTAATCCATAGTGCATCTTTAATGTTAGACCATTATAATAGTGTTCACAGTAACCATATTTGAAAATATGTAATTCACTACAAAAAGTGGTGGAACAAGTAAAGATATTCAATAATAAATGAACCCGAGATTTGTAGATTTGTCATTAAGATATTATTCTATTTCAGCAATATGATCGACCCATAAATAATATACAGTATAATAATAAGAATATATATTAGTTAAAATATGTCTACGATGTAAGTTTGTCCTTGAAGTTGTGAAATATACAATATGTCAGATGCAACTGCAATCTACATGCAAGTATTATGAAGTATAGCTTATTTATATTACAATGTACAAGTTTATATACAAGTAACTGTTATATTATATATTAATTTCAATGCACGAATGCGAATTGAAGAAGAAATGTACATATAATATTAGTTCTGTCATTGCTGATGCATAGTGCATTTTCAATTTGTCGGAAATGTAATAATTTAAATATTTTTTTTTGTTTAGCATATTGTTTCAGGTCGAATTTTGACCTACCATATAATATTAGTATGTGCCTAAAAGGTAAGTGTGTCATTCTCCAAAGCAATATGTGACGTAATATTATTATCTCCTATCTATTTAGTATTCAATACATACTCGTATATATATATTCGTTTTCCATATTAAGTACGAATTGTTCCTCAACCCTTGGACAAATAGTCCTGATTGCGTAAGTTCGTGTGTTCTCTACAACACGTTTCTATTGCACGCAACTAATTTGTGGGTACAACACGAAATTAACTGCGAAGTCCTCTTCAACTACTTTACACAATAACCCGGAAATTACATCATATAGGGATCGAAACACCAGGATCACCCGTAAACTCGACGCGAAAATTACGTATAATCGAAATAGCCATTTAAGTGCCAGCCTATTTCACACGTGATCTTAAAATTGTATACTCACACAACGATCGTTGTGATAGTAAAAAAAAATCCAGTAAGCATTCAAAATGTTCGGACGATTAATTAATGTATAATTATATAACAAGTATCCAAATTGCAGAATTTGAACCAAAACATTAAAATCGCAAACATAATATTTTCTAAATCTCTGCTAATATAATTTTCACATTTGTTGATCTCAATAGATAATACCAATATCTGCTTGACATGTAAAACAATATACCCAGTGTGATTGGCTTTTCACCGTGACTTTTAAAGAATATGTACACCGTCTTCACACTGCAAACACACTCTGGCTTCCTCGTTGTGTGGGTTTCTGTCACGAAGTTACATAGAGGTTTCGCAAAAACTCGAATTGTAACTATGAATTGGACGGATGATGTGGGCTTGAAAACTGGACTGTGGGTAATGCGCAGCAACGTGTCAGGGATCCGAGAGCTCATAGGAAAATGACATCCTGCGAAAATAACAATCAATGCGATTTGTCAGAAAATTGTAGATTTCAAATAAACTCATACTAAACAGTCAACGTAGCAAAGAAATACACAGACATATTGTAGTTTTCAGAAACTGACATTACCTCCACCTCATTGGCATCGTACTCGTTTACCTCCCCCGGTATGGTGTAAGTAATTCCTGACGTTGTTCTCGTCTATCGTAGATAAAATGGACATTGTTTTAGTGTTACTTGAGTTGAAATTCTGCGTGTACGTAGTTAGTAGTAAAATTTTGACATTAATATGTGAATACAAATATGTGTTACAATTGTAAACTTAAACTTGAGTTTATTAATGCAAATGCTTACCGACATAATACTTTCCGATGTTGATGGACGGCTTGGAATATCAGGATACAACTTGTCTTTGTCTGTACATTAGAAAACGGTAGTTGTAATTAACTCTGCCATGGAGGATACTTTTAGCTGGCACTTTTTTGTTTGTTCATGTGTCTGTCTGTCAGTACGAATGTTAAAGAGTAACTGTATTCATGCGCAATTTCCTTATGATTTTTAGACGGGTTTTTTGATTGCTTGGAATTTCTTTAAAGTACTCTGATAAATGTTTGCACTCTCAAGATTATTTTAGTATTAATTCAATTTTAAGCAGATGTATTCTCTTACATTAGTAATCCATGGTAATTGTGCGGACATCGTGCCGGAAAAAAATAATTAACATACTAAAATCACAGGAAATAGTATATCTTTGGCGTCTGACGTTTCGAATGAGTTTGATCTTGAAAACACGTGTAAAAATAAGCGAAAACCTACTATGACTATATCGATATATTAAGCTAACTCTTTTGATGTGATACTAAAACTCCCAGAATTCGAATAAAATTAACAACTTTATAACTAGCAGTTTCAAAACTGCTAGTTCGGGGAACACGGTCTTCATTATGCTTTAAAACAGGTACTTGGTTTTAGGAAATAAATAATCGGTTGCCATGACAAATCTCTGTTTCTAAAGCAATCATTTCAGATTAATGGTCGTTTTCCAGAACGAAAGCGCCGTGCCATTATTATTGACTGCATATTATGAGTATTTCCAATAAGTTGAGTTTCGCTGAATTGCGTCGAATTGTGAAATAAAACTATCGATACGAGTATGGGAGTACAATTTAACGTCTGTGACTAGGAATTGGAATAACATACCTTCTACCGTATTGTGCTTTCGTGAGCTGAAACCTCCGCTTTTCTGACAATGGAGAAAAATACATATTAGTAAATTAGTTTTACATAAACCATCTTCTAATAATAGATTATTTCAGAATTTAAAATGAACCTGGCTTTCATAGGCAACTTGCAAGTGACGCACGTGCTAATAAAAGAAAGTACAATCCATAGATTGAGCTTCCAAACATGGAAACATTATAACTGAAGATTGTGATCAAAACAATATCGTGTAATGGGATTGTAGTATGGGTTTATATATGCACCAATAGTAGCGCTGTTTTTTGAAATAATGACTGGTTACACCTGTTGTTTGTTGTTTGTTAGTTGCGACATTGTTATAAACATGTCTGTCTGTGATGTTCATTACACATATATCCACCAGTTTGGAGAAGGTTTCCCCGTTTTATCACTATATCAGGAATAATTACCTTATCGGCGTTTGTTTCAACTGTAGAACTCATTTCCCAAACTTTGCTGTTGATTGAAGCCTGGTCGCGTCTTCTTTTGAAGGCCCCTCTTACTTCACCATTCCCGACACAATGGAAAAGGAAAATAAACAATCCCTAACGAAGGAAATTAATATATAAGCAATTACTGCGCGGTTCACTTAAATATCTGGTAAACAAACACATGTTTTACATACGTTGTATTCACGCGTTGACACAGGGGACGTGTATCGAACATGCGCATGCGCGGGAATTGAGTCCCAAGCGACGACAACAACACACGGTAAAAAAACAAAGGCTCATGGGTAGACGCTTGTTTGTAAACAATGATACGCTATGGCCATCTGACGCATGCGCAGGTGGCGACTCCCCCGCTTTGAATATAACATTCTAGAGAGCAGCGAGTAAGTTGCGGGGTAATCAGCGGTGTATTATATTTTTCGTTGTGAACGAATTGACCCAAATTACTCTTCGTCTGTCAAACTAATTATCAACAAATGTTGTCTCCGGCTGTCCAGGACAGGAAGTATATGTGAGTTGATACGATAACGGTTGATATAAGGGTGGGAGTTATACATGATGACTTTGTAGCTATCGTTTTATTTTGAGTTGATTTGATTATTAATATCAATAAAATCAATTCCGTAGTTCTCACCTGTAATGAATTTAGTATTGCGAATATGTACTGAAATGCAATCAGTTCATTGGATACGAAGAAGACACCAAACAACCACGTGCCTCCAAGAAGAGGGAGGAGTAGTATTAATCCCTTGACACCAGCTCTGGTTAAAAGTAAATTCAATTGTATCAATACATTATTTAACATTAATAGTTTTGATTCACGTTGTTCATTTGGGTATTAGGGATATTTACATTCAATATGAACCAAGTTACACCCGCATAACTACGCAAAACAAATATTGGTTTGCAGTGGAATTAGCATACAACTTCACTTACTTGGCTTGTTCAATGTTATTTTTGTTTGACATTGCAGATGAGAGAATAATAATACGCACAACAAGTACCATTACGATCAAGTTTAACTGTAAAATAAAATGGAAGAAATAGTCCTTACTAGAGTATTCTTCTTCGTGTGGATCTGCGCATGGTTATAAAATGTGAATTATATGTGTATGT